TCCGAACTTCGAATGCAAGGACACAGTCACCAGCTCGTGCACTATCTCAATATACATCACATAACTAAAGAGGTCCGTACACTAGGTGTGCTCTCTCAGCGCTTACTTCTTGTTGAGGCTATACAGACAGCGTCAAAACCAAGGGTGTGTTCCAATACTCACCGTAGACGGCTAAATAGACAGCTAAACGGAAGAAGTCTCACTCCAAATTTTTACGTAGCCGGCAAAATAGACAGCTCCGAGAAGACCGCATCGTAGACAAATACGATGCAGGCTACTTTGCTGTATAAATAAGATGGTGGCTCAGCAAATCGCTCAGATAGATCAAATCTCGCCGGAATGGTTGTCTGCACACAAGCAGACGATTTCGCGGACGCTCAATGTGAGTAACGTTTATTTATTTTTGATTTCAACACGAAATAGGCCAGAAAACACAACTGTTGCGTTGGTTTATATTAGCTTTTTCTTCTCGACACGAGGTGGCGCAAAAGCCGACCAAAAGTGTTCCGATTCTCGGACAGCATGGGCTTGGTGCTGTCTTCTAAGCAGTCTGCGTAGAGTGTCTACGTGCTGTTTAAGAATTGAAACACAGCCCAACTTCGCTGTCTGAAGCAACAGCAGTCGCTCTAACCCGCGTCTCGTAGAGTGACGCAAGATCGAACTCAAGAGAGCTAGCTGCTATAACTTTGCTTCATAAAACATTCCAATTCGTCGCAACTGACCACATGACTTCAATCTTGCGGTGAAACTGACTTCGTTTAATATGAACCATTTTCTAAATATTTGGAAAATAGGAAGTGACTGAAAGCGAAACAGGAGTAATCTGTTGCTCATGGCACTAAAAAGTGTGTGCACGCATGCGTATGCGCTTGTTTCTTACGTTTTCCCGGAAGTATTTTGCATAAGGCCATTTTCTCTTTTTCCTATGTTACCTTATTCTCTTTCAGGAGCGTTGGCAGAACGTAAGAATAAACTTAATAGGAACACCTCAGTACAGCGCTGTATAAATCAACGCGTTCGAAACCATAAAACGCGAATTTGTTCTGCTTTCAAAGCATGCATGCTTTATTGTACAACAGTCATCAAAATAAGGAAAACGGCGCCGCGGTGCTCTAGTGGCTAAAGTACCGGGCTGTTGAACCGCAGGTCGCGGGATCGAATCCCGGCTGCGGCGGCTGCGTTTCCGATGAAAGCGGAAATAGAGTAGGCCCGCGTGCTCAGATTTGGGCGCACGTTAAAGAACCCCAGGTGGTCAAATTTCTAGAGCCCTCCACTACGGCGTCTCCCATAATCATGTGGTGGTTTGGTTTTGGGATGTTAAACCCCACATATCAAGCAGTCAGAATAAGGGAAGGGCAAGTGATGAAAACGTTCACATTAGGAGCGTGCGCAGGGCTTGTTCCCTGCGGGATTGAGTACCACCTACTCAGCGACAAAGATGGATGCGACTGTTCTGTTGCCATTACCCAGAAGCACCGAGAAGTGACCAGAAAAGGAAGTTGGATAGAGTCTGCGTTCATGAAGAGTCTTCATGAGGGGAAAGAAAGAAAGAAAGAAAAAAAAAAAGAAAGAGAAAAAGATGTAATAACAGGGTGAAAGTGAATCAAATGGAAGGGTAGGTCGACAAACGTGTCTAGTTCTCGTTTATTCTATGCTAACCCCTGCAGTCCTTTCAACTATTCTTTTCACTCGGAACAAGCAGCTTGTGTGCAGAGAAGCTCCTTCGCGCGATAAAGAATGACCGCACTAACGCCCTTTTTGTTCGGCGTTAGTTTAATGAGAACTCGACCGTTTGACACGACAGAAGGATAATTTTTTCCAGTGGTTAAATTTCATGTAGAGATAGTCGAATGAATCAGACAGACAGTGAATCAAAGGGATTGATTGATTGATTTGTGGGGTTTAACGTCCCAAAACCACCATATGATTATGGGAGACGCCGTAGTGAAGGGCTCCGGAAATTTTGACCACCTGGGGTTCTTTAACGTGCACCCAAATCTGAGCACACGGGCCAGTGAATCAAAGGGAGACATAGCGTGAATGATTCCTGTTTGTTTCTTAGGTGTGGCGTAAAAAAATACGACAAATCAAAATGTGTTAAGGTGGACGAAAAAACACCCTTTCAATCAGTGAGAATGAACTTCACAACCTTTGAATTCAGTGACCGATGCTCTATTGAGTTACGACTGAGGCACTTCTCCGCCAATTTTATGCCATATGAAGACGCATTGTAATCAACGGCAAGGCGAAGGGCTGATAACGTTTTAAGTGTATTCTTCCTACAAGTCCTCGCATCATGCATTTACTACTGCAGTATGCATGTCGGTGTACAAACATTCATGAAAGGCTTATAAGACTAAGTAAATTGACTACAGAGAGCTTTGATGCGAGACTGATGGCAGTATGTATTGTCACAGCGTCGTGACGCGTGCGAAGGGAGCAAACTTCAGGTCGAAAATGAAACTCCTTATTCGGGCCGAACTTGTGGCCAACAAAAGAAAAGTGAGATTACAGCAGGACACTGGCACTGATAACGGCGAACAGAGCGTCGGCCATGCATCGATCAACTGACAAGCGGTGAAGCATGTCGGCACTTACACCTTGCCATCAAATATTCTAGCGTAATCGCTAGCGGTGACGTAGGTTCCAGAAAAATCCGTAATTTGCCAGAAGTGGGCGTAATCTTAACAAAACGATCTACCATAGCCTCGAAGCCTGGAGGATATCGTAGGCGCGACTTGCGCTGAACGTAGTGTAACGGGCGATAACAAAGCTTAAGAAACGAACGTGGCAGTATATATACTGTAGACGCCTGAAGCAACGCTAACTCAAAACAATGAAAACAGATAAAAAAAGGCTCCAAAACTGCGTTCGAAAGAAAAGTGTCGTTGGCTACTCCTTCATGCTGAAGTACCGGTACTGAACTCCACAAAAACGTAATGTCAACACGAGCATTCTCGCATTTACTTATTGAACCTGCACAGTAGAGTGCAATAACATCTACTACAAAATGTCACTGAATTCCTATCCCGTGCAAAAAACAGCGGATGCATCGCTGCCCTAATTTTCAAGAAAGTTCTCGCTTCGGCAGCGCAGTTCCTCTGCTTATCTTGACTGAAGTCTATATAGAACGTGCACCTCGTATTTTGTTTTCAAGTTGTCGCCAATGTCGTGTGCTACACCGCATCGCAACACTTCTTCGCTCGTTTGATTCAACTCCGAACGGCAAAATTTAACTCCCAGCATAAGCTAGAAATTCAAATGTAAGCGTTGCGCCACGACAATGCGAAGAAAGATGGTCATTAAAAGAAAAGAGTGCATTGTTGCCGTTCACAAAGAGGAGAATATGACAGAAGATTGCACGTACAGTGAAGTGCTGAAAAGCTTTCGTTTTCTTTGGTATAACTGCAGCGCAGTTTAAGGGACCACTCTGTCGACGTTTGCTTTCTCACACCAGCGTCGAGCAGATTACACGTTTGGCACACGTACTTAAGCCGAGCAGGACGCACGTTTGGAACACCAGCGCGCACTCACTCGCGAACGCGAGCGACACTGAAGGGCAAATTTCATCAGTCTGAGGCAGCGAAGCGACAGCGAAACGCCGGCGTCAATTGTTTACACGCACCGAGCATCTAAATCAGAGCAGGAACCACAAGAAAAACAGTAGAGACGGTGTATAACGAAAAACGGATAATTACAAAGCATATGCGATATCCCCAAGAAACTAACGAGAGAAGTATACAAACATCATATATTCGCACGAAGCAGATCAGAAAAGAGCAGATTCACACAACCAATTAACACAAATGAAGAGAAGAGAGCAGATGAGCACAAGGTAAGCACAATAAAAACTCAGGCGCCTTGAATCCGGTGCTATCAAATCTACAGAAGCACCATGGCTCTTTCTCTGCAGCCCTTCCGTAAACAAGTGAAAGCGGCATCAATTTTCCAATGGAATGCCCGAGGTCTTAAACCCCGCATTTCGGATTTTCGACCATATGTTTTCAAGAATGAGTTTCCAATTATCGTAATTTGTGAACCACGTCTTCACAATGCTATACGACTTTCTAAATACGAGGCTTTCAGATCTGCAACCCGTAACGAAACCAGTAAGGTCATTGTTTACATCAGGTGCGAACTCACATATATTGAGCATCCAGTAACACCGGACGACAGCAACCAATACGTGTGCCTGACATTTAAGCGTAAGAACGTGAACTTCACGCTAGTGGCAGTATATATTTCGCCTTCAGGCCGCTTCGACCCAGCAAGACTAAGCGCCATTATATCAGCGACACCTGGGCCATGGATTATTACCGGTGATTTTAACGCTCATCACCCCCTGTGGGGAAGCCAGAAGATGGACCGTCGGGGAAGAGATGTGTCCTCCTTTGCATCTGACCACCAACTATATTGTTTAAATGACGGCGCTGCCACGTTTTTACGGGGTCTGACATATAGTAGCTGTCTCGACCTAACTTTTGTGTCAAGTAGCCTGAACACCAAGGTGCAGTGGTTTGCGGACAATGAAACGCATGGCAGTGACCACATCCCCACCTATATAAAGATCAAGGGGCTAAGCAAGTCGCAAATCGCGCCCGCTTCACGGATAGACTGGTCAAAGTACAGATCATCCACAGAGAAGCAATGCGAGAGAAACCAAGAAGGTTCTCTTGAAAGCCTAGAAGGTATAATGAAGGCCGCTATTCAAGAGGCAACGTTTAATTGTGGACCTTTGCCAGATTTTTGCAAATATGAGGTGGAGTTGGAGCGACTTCGCGCAATCTGTCGTCGCGCCGAACGACGTTATAGGCGCACGAAATAGTGGGCATGGGAGCAACGCTACGATGCGGCTCACGAATATTTTTTGTTTCTGCCTGTTACAGCTGCCGTTCGTTGTCGACGCATGCGCTGTCGGTTTGCCCGAGTGGCTTCCCGGTGACGCTTATCGTTCAACGCCGATCGTCTCCGAACCAGCGCTACATGACGCACGCTCCGACATGCCGTGGGAGACCACTCTGACGCAAGTCCCTGTGGCTCCCCCTGGATCAACCTGGACATCTTCGATTACGTCAGCAACGCCGCCTGATATAAGCGCATCGGGCCAGCCGTGCCACATTAGTGGGCATGGGAGCAACGCTACGATGCGGCTCACGAATATTTTTCGTCTCTGCCTGTTACAGGTTAGTGAAGCTCCTTCTAAGCGCTCCAATAACGCTTTTCTTGTTGTATTCCCATGCCCACAAGTGCTCTTACAACATGTAAACGAGTGCTTTGATGTGTTGAAACTGTTACTGTCGGGGGATGTGGAGCTTAACCCGGGGCCTACTAAACCTCGACAGGGTGGCACGCAGGTGTCCGAAGTACCACCGGAGCCTACGACCGATGTTGTTATAACAATGCTGAGGGACCTCACAGCCCGTTCAAAGCTGATCGAGGATGGTCAGGCGCGCATACTCGATTCCATCGGAAGCTTAACGTCAAAACACGCTGAACTGAACGCGACGGTCACAAACATATCTGAAAGGTTAAGCTTCATGGAAAACAGGTTTGAAGTTCTGGAAGAGCATGCTGAAGACATAACTACAGTAAAGGATCTATTGGCACACTTCAAAACGAAAATACTTTGTTAAAAGTACGTTTGTCAGACCTGGAAGATAGAGTGAGAAGGGACAACCTTTTATTTTTTAATGTGCCTGATAACCCCTCGGAAACATGGGCGGACTCGGAAAAGGAGGTCAAGAAGATTGTACTTGACCAAATGTCGATTAATCTTGTCGATAGCGATATCGCGCGTGCGCATAGAGTTGGCACATTGCATCGCGACAGAGCTCGACCAATAATAGTAAAGTTTGCAAATTACAAAACAAAAGAAAAAGTACTCAGCGCAAAAACCAAACTTAACGGATCAGACATCACAATTAGTGAAGACTTCTCGCCAGCTACCCGACATGCCCGTAAAATTCTAGTAGACTTTGCGAAACGCTCAGCGCCAGATGAAAAATTCAAACTCCGCTATAACAAACTCACTTTAAACAATAAGTGTTACGAGTATTGCGAGGTAAGCGGTGAAGTAAAGGAAAAATGCAGAAACCCCAGCGCCTCTAAAGCTCCGTATTCAACTCTTTTTCCACATGCATCCACAGAATAGCCCACCGTCCGTCCACATAACGTGCCGCGGGCGCCAAGTAACATTTCAGTTCTTTTCACTAACATACGAAGTGTAGTCCGTAACCACGATTCTATTTCTTGTGCTGCTGACACTACTGCCGCTGACATTATTGTATTAACTGAGACTTGGTTGAACGAATCTGTACGGGACAGTGAAATTTTTTCTGCTCAAAAGTGCTACAATATTTCCGATGCGATCGCTCCTCAAAGCGTGGCGGTGGTGTCTTAGTTGCTGTTAACCACAATTTTGAATGCTCACAAGTCAATGTCACTACAAATCTTGAGTTCACTTGCGTCCAAATATCTGTTAACTTCACTAAGTTTCTACTCTGTGTATGTTATCGTCCGCCGTCTACGCCACTAGGCTTTTGTAATGGTCTTCACGACACTCTTAACACCATTCACATAAAGTTTTCTATTCAGCAGATATTTCTTTTCGGTGACGTCAATTTTCCCGATGTTAACTGGCAGTCACCCGCTATCTCAAGTGAAGAAACATGCGAATCATCAAATTTTGTGGCACTCTGTTCAACGTTTTCTTTGACTCAGGTTATCACTGAGCCAACAAGAATAACTGATTCCACGTCTAACACACTTGACCTATTGTTAACAACAGCTCCCGATCTTGTCACCGACATCAGCTATTTACCGAAAATTAGCGATCACTCCGTAATACACGTAATGTTGAATGTCCCAACTCGTTTGTCCCATAATAACCCTAAGGTTATTTACGATTACGGAAAGGCTAAATTTTCGGCCGTTAATGATGGGCTGAAGATTTTTTTGGATGAGTTTCTTGTTGGTTTCGACGAGAGATCAGTCACTGAAAACTGGCACCTGTTTAAAAGTACAATTCACAATTTAATTAAACATCATATTCCCCAAAAGGTCATTACCACTAACCGTCAGTTTTCATGGTTCAGCCGTGCATTAAAACGCCTTGCTAACAAAAAAAGGCGTTTCTTCATCAGAGCAAAGCGGTCTCGAAAATCGGAGCACTGGTCAGCACTTAAGGATGTCGTATGTACATATAAGAAAGCTTTAAAGCAAGCAAAACATAAGTTTATGAATGTTACATTACCTGAACTTCTTTCCGCAAACCCTAAAAAATTCTGGAGTCTGATTAAGGATACAGATGATTCGACAATTTCTCTTGTTGATTTGCAGTCAAACCGATTTAGCAACGCTTATTGCGCCACCGCTCTGAATGACACGTTTGCAAAAGCATTTTCCAGTTGTACTAACTCGTCACTCCCTGCCTGTCACACTCATTATGATTTCCCCATGGACCCTGTTCATTTTGATTTTGATGGCATTGTACGCATTATTGAGAGCCTAAAATTATCTTCTAGTTGTGGTCCCGATGACATTAATACAAAAGTGCTCAAAAACACCTCGGTTTATTCTGCTATAATATTGTCCAAAATATTTAATCAGTCTCTTCAGTCAAGGGAGATTCCAGATGACTGGAAAATAGGTAAAGTGATTCCACTCCATAAATCTGGTGACAAACATTCTGCTTCGAACTATCGCCCCATTTCGTTAACGAGTATTTCTTGTAAAATATTTGAACACGTCATCGCTTCCCACTTGGCAAAATTTCTTGAATCATTCTCATTTTTTTCACCTGAGCAACATGGCTTTAGAAAATTATTTTCGTGTGAAACGCAGTTGGTAGCCTTCACAAACGACCTTCATTCTGTACTTGATAATGGTTCCGCGGCTGATTGCATATTCATAGACTTTTGTAAGGCATTCGATAAAGTTCCCCACAGCCTGCTTCTTCACAAACTAAGCCAACTGAATATCGACCCTAACGTTCTTAAGTGGATTAAATGTTTTCTAACAGATCGCTCTCAATTTGTTCATGTTAATGGTTTTAACTCTTCAACTCTACCTGTCACTTCAGGCGTCCCACAAGGCTCAGTTTTAGGTCCACTGCTTTTTCTTATATAAATTGTTAAGGCGTTTATTAGCCGGCAACGAGCGAGAATACACAATGGCGACAGTCACAGCCAAGCACGGGCCCTCAGCGCGAGCGGCGTCCTTGTTGGGTAGCCCCACTAGAAGGTACTCAAGAGTTCGACCCATTTCATAGTTCGGAGGCTTCGCTACAATTACCCCGGGGTCGAAGAGGGAGCCGCCTGGCGACCTAACAGCTTGTTATTATGAGCGGGTCATAATAAGGCTTCAGGCGCTCCACGTTGACGATGTCTCGCCCACGGCGGCGCATGTCCGAAGATTGTTCAACGGGTTCGATCAGATAGTTGACGGGTGAGGTGCGCTCGATGACACGGTAGGGGCCTTCGTATTTGGGACGTAGTTTGGAAGAGAGGCCAGCGGCAGAGGTCGGGATCGAGAGCCATACAAGCGCACCAGGAAGGAACGTGGGCTCAGAAGTGGTGGAGCCATCCCGGATACTCTTCTGCCGCTCTTGTTCTTGCGTCGTAAAAGTCTTGGCAAGCTCGCGACACTCTTCAGCAAGCCTGGCTGTCTCGGAAATAGGTGTACACTCAGATGGATCCGGCGTGTACGGGAGTATCGTGTCCATGGTGTGCGACGGGTGCCTTCCGTACAGCAAGTAGAAAGGTGAAAAACCAGTCGTGCTCTGAGGGGCGGTGTTGTAGGCGTAGGTGACGAAGGGCAGTATATTATCCCAATTAGTGTGGTTGGCAGCGACGTACATAGAAAGCATGTCGCCGAGGGTGCGGTTAAAGCGTTCGGTGAGGCCATTCGTCTGTGGGTGGTAAGCAGTAGTTTTGCGGTGGACAGAATGGCACTCCGTCAGAATGGCTTCGACGACTTCCGACAAGAAGACGCGGCCTCGATCGCTGAGAAGCTCTTGGGGTGGTCCGTGGCGCAGTATAAATCGATGCAGCAGGAAGGACGCAACATCGCGCGCAGCAGCCGCAGGGAGAGCGGCGGTTTCGGCGTATCGCGTTAAATGGTCAACGGCAACGATGGCCCAGCGGTTACCAGCCGACGTCAGAGGAAGTGGTCCATACAAATCGATACCTACGCGCCCAAAGGGACGGTCAGGGCAAGGTAACGGTTGTAGACTGGCGTGCGACATGTGGGCTGACAGTTTACGGCGTTGGCAAGTGAGGCAAGAGCGAACGAACTGCTGCACATAGCGGTACATCCCGCGCCAGAAGTAGCGTTGTCGAATGCGATGGTAGGTTTTGAATACCCCAGAGTGCGCGCATTGCGGATCAGAATGGAAGGATTCACATATCTCTGACCGCAGACTGCGGGGTATCACGAGTAACCACTGCCGGCCGTCGGCGTCGTAATTGCGTCGGTGTAGGAGGCCGTCACGAATGGCGAAATGGCGAGCTTGACGACGCAATGCACGCGTGGATGGCGTTGCGGATGGATCAGAGAGCATGTCGATGAGCGGGCCGATCCAATTATCCTTTCGCTGTTCGGTAGCGATGATGTCAACATCAATGGCAGAAACAGCAGCCGAGGATACTGAGCAGAGCACATCACCTTCAGGCAGAGGGGAGCGCGAGAGGGCGTCGGCGTCAGCATGCTGGCGTCCGTTGCGGTACAACACGCGGATATCGTAGTCTTGTAAGCGAAGAGCCCAACGGGCGAGACGGCCTGAGGGATCCTTCAATGATGAAAGCCAGCATAGTGCATGATGGTCGGTGACGACATCGAATGGGCGACCATACAAATAAGGTCGAAACTTTGTAAGAGCCCAGACGATCGCCAGGCACTCTTTCTCCGTGACGGTGTAGTTTTTCTCGGCTCTCGTGAGCGTACGGCTTGCATATGCTACGACATATTCAGGGAATCCGGGTTTTCGCTGCGCCAGGACAGCGCCGAGGCCTACTCCACTGGCGTCCGTGTGCACCTCCGTTGGGGCTGTAGGGTCGTAGTGGCGTAGAATGGGAGGCGACGTCAACAAATGGCGGAGCTTCGCGAACGCGTCGTCGCACTCGGATGACCACGAATTGAAGGGCCCGTTGCTTCCAAGGAGCTTCGTCAGCGGTGATATGATCGTGGCGAAATTTCGTGTGAAGCGTCGGAAGTATGAGCACAGGCCCACGAAACTACGCAGTTCTTTGACAGATGCAGGTCTGGGGAATTCGGCCACGGCCTGAAGCTTGGCAGGATCAGGAAGAATGCCGTCTTTGGACACGACGTACCCCAGTATGGTGAGTTGCCGCGCTGCAAAGCGGCACTTTTTCAGATTTAGTTGTAAGCCGGCATTCCTCACACGTGCGAAAACTTCTTTCAGACGTTGGAGATGCGTGGAGAAATCCGGAGCAAAGACAATGACATCGTCGAGGTAACACAAGCACGTGTACCATTTCAAGTTGCGCAAAACGGTGTCCATCATGCGCTCAAAGGTCGCAGGTGCATTACATAGACCAAACGGCATGACGTTAAACTCGTACAAGCCGTCTGGCGTGACGAAGGCGGTCTTTGGTCGAGCGTCGTCAGCCATGGGTACTTGCCAGTACCCCGAGCGCAGATCGAGAGAAGAAAAAAAATCGGCTCCATGAAGGCTGTCAATCGCGTCATCGATGCGTGGCAGTGGATAAACATCCCTGCGAGTGATCTTATTGAGCCGTCTGTAGTCCACACAGAACCGCACAGAACCGTCTTTCTTCGCAACAAGAACAACAGGAGACGCCCATGGACTGTCGGAGGGCCGAATAACGTCGCGTCGGAGCATATCGTCAACCTGATCATTAATTACTCGACGTTCAGCAGGCGACACGCGATATGGACGTTGCCGTAAAGGTGGATGGGCACCAGTGTCGATGCGATGCGTAACAACGAACGTGAGACCGAGAGAACTTCGCCCGACATCGAAAGAAGAACGATATTCTTGTAACAGGTCCAGAAGTTGGGAACGCTGTACGGCCGTAAGGTTGTCAGCGATGGAGGGGCCAAATACATCAGCAGACGACGAATCAGAAGTGGAAACAGCATTGATGGTACACGACCTGGGAGCGCGCGTGT